AATTATATTTTAAATAAATATAATACATAATTATTTAATAAAATATTTTATATTTAAAAAAAAATATTAAAAAATCACTATGCAGTATATACATGCCACCCAAATTATTTTGGACTGCCGTAATTATAAGTAAAATCCCAAATTCAATTATGGCATCCCAAATTATTTTGGCACTTTACATAGTAAATTATATATAAACCGAATGAATTATGGCATCCCAAATTATAATTATGGCATCCCAAAATAATTTGGGCAGCATGTATAATGCCTGTCTCTTATACACATCTAGATGTGTATAAGAGACAGGAATCCCCCTAACTCCTTAACCTAACCATAACTTAACTTTAATTCTAATTCCTAACTCTAATAAATATTAGGAATGAATTTTCCTTTTAATTAGATGTAATAATATTATAATTAAGCTTTTTTTTGGTTGACTATAGTTTTTATGATAAAGTTTTATTTTTATTATATTTAGTAATTATACATGTAACAGTTACTTTTAATATCAAAAATTGTAGTAATTTCCTTATATAATAAATAGTAATAAATTTTAATATTGTTTTTTATGTTATTAAATATCTAAAAAGTATTAATAATTATTACTAATTAAAAAGGTGGGTCCTGTGAATGCCTTGTAAAGAAAGAGGGGCATTTATGCTAAGAATGGTCATTTTAAAACGAACTATACCCTCTGAGCAAAAATTTCACCCGACAGTGCATATGTGGAGTGCTTTATAGCATGACGAGTGGTTTGGTAATTAATAATATTAGATAGTTACTTTACTAAAAATGGCCAATTTTTTGAAATATTTTTATAAACCTAAATACAATAGCTTTCAAAACAATTGTGCAATTGTTTTGTAAAATTTTTAAAATATATCAAAATATATTTGAGGTATTTTTAAGATTAAAATATTAAAATAATATCAAAGTTAATTATATTATAATAATAAAATAATAATAAAAACATTAAAAAATTATTGTGATATTATTTTGAGTTATTTTTATAGACCTAGATACAA